CATGTTCGTTTAAACTGCACGCACTAGACGTGCAATTCGGTTACCTTCCGTGGAGTGGACGCTACAACAATGCACTGTCCGTCACAGTTTTACAAGCCCGCGCTCTTATCGCTTCAATCAACAGCACGATTCCGCAGCAGTCTTCAAAACACTCGAGCTTTCAGATTATCTCAGCATATTTGCCAGCTGCCAAAAAAAATACGTGCTTGATAACACACGAGACTTTGCCAAATGTCCTGGCTAAGCAGAAATAGGATTCAGAGGGCACACATCCGGCGATGTCGTGAGAAACCTTCCCAAACCGCTGATACGCACAAATTTATCGCACGAGTCTGCGTTGTTTATCAACTTCATCCGACCTTTTGTTCTGAGCTTTGTCCACATAATTCTACTTTGGGGTCAACAACCGGAGTCAAGTAGTCATGAAAAACATGTTTTTATTCCACTTGAGACAACTTGTCCTTACCAAAGAGTATTATGATCATAGTGGGGGTAAAACAAAGGACAACATACTGCATACGCCCACATCTCGATTTCTAAGATGGCCTTTGTTAACGATATTATGTTGGTAATAACAAAGAAGTTGATGATACCAACATTGATATCGTTAAGAAAAGGAAGTTTAACTCGTACCAGAGAATTACAGACGTGTATAGCGTATTTATATCTTTTTAAAGAAATGTGTTGAAACACTTCATCTGTGTTTGGCAGCTAACCGCAAAGTTAGCCACATTGTCAATCCTGGTACAATGTACACATCTTTGGACACCGACAGAGACACAACAAAGTTTTGCTAAACGCGGACTGACCTGAACGTTTTGTCAAGAAGGAAATAAACTGGAGAAAACAATCAAGAAATAAAAAGGAGCAATGTAGGGCGGTTAATGCTGTGCCCCCACGGCCCTGACTTGGGTTAAGGTGCCAAGGTACAAGGTTAGCGGACGTTACATAGAAACGGCAGGGTATTCGTCAAGATTAAAGACATTCAATGCAATTTTAGGGCAGCAAAAGAAAAAATCAGGATCAGGAAATCTGTCTGATATTGAGATTACTGCAATTTTAGCACATTCTCTTCATCATTTCATACATGAAGCGTTTGAAATATAATGCGATAGGGCTGAAAGCTACTTGAGGCGTGTCTTTATTTTTTGTACCACCAGTAAATATCTAGAACCAGCCTTGGATACAAAACAACCAACCGTTTTCCATCAGCAACAGTGTCAGTATGCTATGGAATGAGGATTCATTCGACTTACTACATCAAAAGAATGACCAGAAAATTGACTTTGAAAATACAGTTTTGCCGCCCTGAAATTGCAATACATGTCTTTAATACATATCTGAGTGTCAATTCTGTATCACCATAATTCATAATTATACCCAGTTGTGTGTGTTGTGTATTCCCCCTCCCCTCTCACCCCTTCATTTACCTTGATAGGTGCCTTTGATAGAAACTCCCGCGTCCTTGTTTCCACGAAGGCACGCTATCTTTCCACAATCAGCTGACGCGACGCCTGATCAGCAAACTCAGCTACATAACAAAACACTTCAAAGTTATTTGCATATAGTGATTGTCCAACTTTTCAGTACTCCAAAGGATGTTTGTCTTGGACTGTCGCCCAGTTTATGATATCAGGCTCCCAGAGACAGAGACAAACAGTTTGTTATCGCTGTGGTGATCTAGAAACCACATGCGGGGTTATTTGATTGACACCACAGACCCTTGGTTAGGGAGTGAGTGCTGCTTGTAGGAGGTGCACCGTTAGTAAGTTTGGTTCAACAGCGGTGGGTGTGTGCGCGTGTTCCAACATGGCTACACAGTTAGCCTCCCTAGCGGTAACGCTAGTCCTTTTGGCAGTATTTTTCCGAGTGACCACCCAAAATACAGCCCAACAGGCGTCCAGTTTGCAAAACCAAGTGAAGAAATATCAAGACAGCCGGGCAGATATCGTCTTTCTGTTGGACAATTCCGGCAGCGTTGGGAAATATAACTTTGAGGTATGTTGCTTCCTTGTATGTACCGATTGACCAACTATGATTCTTATAAAACTGAACATTGACACGCCTGGCATGACTGGAAATCTGTGCCACCAAGAAAGTTACATTTTCTCGGGCATAATATGAACTCTTTGTTGATTGTTTGCTATTTTAGCGTGTTATACGTGTAGTTGACTTCACTGTGCCAATATACCGGTGAAAGATTACAGCGTTTTTTCTGTATCCTGCAAAACTCATGAGCAAACTTATGAGAAATAGTAGTTAATGTCTTTTTATAGAATGTGTTGCGAAACTTTAGACATTTTAGCTGATGCATTGATGCTTAACTGTCATTTGTTGTGACAGCTTGAATGAAAACATAATCGTGTCAAGGTAATCTGTTTATATAGTAATGTTTTACTTCTATTCTCCTCCTCCTTTCTTGTATCCATTCCCTCCCTCCCTCACCTGCAAAATCCACCCACCCACTCACGCAAACTAAACCCATCCAACCAAAACACACCCAACCAACCACCAAAACACATCCAACCACCCACCCAAACCCAACT